TGATAAATATATAATATACATATATAGTTTAAGCTCAAGCACGCTTGTTTAAAAGCAATCGATCTCACTAAGCACCGTCCCTTGTACCCGTCCTTCTTGCCGAATTTTTCATCCGATAAATTTCTACTGTATTTTATAACTTAATGTATAATTTTTATTTATAATGTGTGACAAAGTCAGAAGTCAGTCAGTCTTTCATTTTAATCACTAAGATTTTAAAATAATTTAACTTCGTAAAAGAAAGTCCAATTAGATACACAATAAGAAATTATAATGATACAGCCCTTGAACTAAAATTGTTAAAAAAATAATAATAAAAAAAGTATTTTGGTCTACCTTCAATAATTATTTTTGGGACTCTGGAAAAGAAAAACCTGTCTGTGAATATAAATGGGACAAACTATAGTTGTAAATACCAGGATAATTATTTATTACTAACTTAACATCAGTTTGACCGATAATAATATGAACTTATAGGAATAGGTATAAGCATAAAAAAACATTACGAATATGTCAATTTTTGCAGGTTTAACTGGCTTCTGATTGTATTTAAAATAAAATGTTTTATAATTTATCATAATAGCATTGCCTATTCGCTCAAGCTTAAAATTGTAAGTTTTTCTCAGTTTTAATATCATCCATGTGTTGCATCAAATATTGCTTAAATTATTATATTAGAGGTGTAAATAATTGTGATAAATAAAAACTTTCTTCAGATTTTGTTCTTGTTTTTCCTATACGAACCACATTTAATTAAATTACGTAAGTTTTGGCTTAAACCTATTGTAAGAATTGAATTAAGAAATTTAAAAAAAATAATTATACTCTAATCATGCAAAAATGCTTCTGACAGCATGTTTATGAGATTTTTCATTATTTTACGTGCAAATCGTAAATGTATTAGAAGTATATAACGAGTTTGTTAGCACATCTTCTGTCACAATGTAAGCTATGATAAATGTTTAAATTAAAATAAAATTAATGTAAATAAAAGACGTTCTACCTTGACTTTGCAGATTTTGTCAGAATTCCTCCGCGTTGTAGTCTGTACATATTTTTTAGCAGGTATTCTCACTACATTAAAGTTTTATTTGATATTGTTCTTAGTCATTTCTATCATACCATCGATTTGTATAATTTAAAATATGATGCAAATTTTATTCGTAGATGTAATTCCTGCGATACTTAACGAATACAGAACATTTTGAAACCGAATACTCGAAAGCAAAAACAAATCTCGACCGCGACCACGCGACACTAGTTATTGTAACATAACCTACAGCGTCAAAACTAAAACTTCTCCGACTAAAGTAATCGACTCTATTTTATCCAATAAAGCAATTGAAACGTTTATTATGACATGCGTGGTAATGGACAAATAAACGTCATAATTCGTACGTATATCCGTTTGCAATCATTTTTTACGATTTGCGTATGCGCATTTTTCAAGAATCAGTTGAGCATGCGCACTTGAGTTTAACTAATTATTAAAAGATGCGCATGTGCAAATCGAAGTAAAAACGGAAACACTGCTATACACATCAATATGAATGAAAATCAAAAGGATTTCTTTGGAATTGAACTAAATAAAACACATACATATTAGAAAACTAAAGCAGTATCATCTTAACTCTATAATAGCCTCTAACAAAATTTTACGAAGGGTAATCCAAAGTAAAATAAAAATGTCTTAAGTAAAATACCTAATTAGTTAATGAAACTTTTTAAATATACCTAATTATTCAATTAAGTTAAGTTAATTAAGTATTTATATTGTCGCATTAGTAAGTTTATTAAATTAAGTATTTAATAGACTTATTGTCCTTTCATAATTGTTGCGCGGCCGATACTTGTTAGTTTTTAATTTTTATGTTTCATAGCTGAAAGTAGTTACAGCTAGTCTCATGAGCCTTCTCATGTTTCATATCTTTGCGCATATAAAGACTACTTGCTGTGAGTAAAAGACAATAAAAACGCACTTCTTACATGTTCATTTAATACGAGATTCAAGTAGTTCATAATTTTATAAAAAAATAAAAATACTCTTACAAAATAAAAATTTTGTTCCGGTTTATTTTAATATATAGTAAAATAATATTAACGAAAAGATCATTTAACTTATTTTACTTCTCTTTACTCTTAAATGTGTTACATTTGTATCTGTGTCTCGCAAATATTTTAAATTACAACGGGTATGAATTCATTATTTTAAACAATAAAAATGTTACATATCTTTAATAATGCAACTTTTATCACAAAATGATAAAAACTACATTAAAAAATAGTTATGAAGGAATCGTCTGAATAGAGTGGATTGGTAATAACAAAAGCAATATGAAGTAAAAGAATTACTGTATATAAGGGAAGTTAAGTGATTAATAGAACTCCTGTTATTATTTCCAATACCATTTTTCGCCTTAAGTATGGCATATCTTCTTGGGAAAATGTAATTTTTGCATCTCGAGTAAGAAATTCCGCAAATGTACACGAAAACATTCCGCAGTCGCTTCCGTTCATCTGTTGAGGAATGTCTTTAACGCTTTCCAATTCCCAATTTGAAACATCATATTTGGTTTTCTTTTTATCCATATGTTCTGCTTGTAGATAATTTAAGAGGGCGTCTAAGCATCTTCTATTTGAGCCGCCCATACTATCGTAGTATTTTATCGTTTTATATCTAAAGTCTATCATACTCATGCACCAATGGACACCTAAGTGAATTGGTACAGCGATAATGTCATGCGCAAAAATATCTACTTTTCTCGTCCATCTTCTAAGAGAGGCTGGACCATCTTTAAGAAGTTTGGGATAAAAGAAGGTGTTCATAGCATATGCTTTTGGCCATTGGGGAAGTTTTCCTCGTTCAATTATAAGATTCATATAGAAATTGATGACTTCATCATTCAGCCAGTTCAGACCACTTAACGTCAATAAATCTCTCCTTGTTATACTCAGACTAAATTTCTGAGCTAATACTTCGTTCGGGTTTCCACGAGGATTTAGAGCGTTTGCGACAATTTTTTCTTGCTCCTCTGTTAACTGAGGAAGAGATGCTTCTTCAGAAACTTCCACTGGTAGTACTATATCCTTAATTTGCAGGCTCCTCTTTACATCTTCTTCCAAAAGTTTTATGCGAATTTCGTGATTTATCTGACTAAACTTTTCCACTTGAGCTCTTTGTTTTTGTATTTCTTTTTCTTTTTTAGCTAACTGATCGTAGCGTTCCTTAATACTAAAAGAAAGAGGAAACACCACATAAAACTTGTCAAGGGTCCAACAATCAATAATTAAGTAGTGATTATTTAATTTTACATAAAAGAAATGTTTTAAAAAGAAAACAATTTGATGTGTACTTATTACATTACAGTGTATTCTATCTGATAAAAATCCCTTTAATGAGTTTCTCTAAATTTTAACAAGAATATGCTAAAAGGAAAAACAAAGTACTTACAGTTTGTCCACCCATTCTTTATGTGAATGTTCAGATGTATCAATAACTGCTTTGAGACTGTTGACTGGTCCCACTTTAAAATCTGGTTTAGGTGAAGGTGGAGAAGGAAGGATTTCTACTTCTGAATCAGAATCCTTTACTACTACGGGCTCATTGTCAAAATCATCCAAAACCTTATTTATTGTATCTTTAATTGAAGGTCGTGGTTTGTATTTTTTTGAAGTATCATCAGTTAAATCAATAAATGCTGTTTCTTTACTTTCAGTTCTTTGAGCTAAACCAACTAGTTTTTTACCTCTGCTTCTAGTGTCAACACATAATTTTCCAGTGGGAGTACTGTAATTTGATAATGACCCATTTGTATTATATGAAGACCATGATGGAGCAGCTCTTGATAAAAGTTCTCTGTATCTCAACTTCTCATCTAAACGGAATGATTGATCCAGTGTTGAGCTATGAATAGATGGATTTCGACTATTAAGTTTTGATCTTACTTCTTGAATACTGCTGAATATTGTTGGAGTTGTAGAGTTAAATCCCGCTCTGCGTAGCTTAGATGTAGGTTGACGAAAAGTATTTTGTGTTTCGTTGAAACATGACAAGTTAATGTAATCCAATCCTTGTTTTCGAAAATTGGTCTTTTTATCTGCTAATGATTCACTACTTACTATAGCTACATCATCATCTCCAGTTGATACATTAGGGGTTGATGTAATCTGAATAGGGTTGTTGTTGTTAAATTTAGTGTTATTTTTAATTAATAACACATCATCATCGTCAATATTGTAAACAATATTTTCTTTTGATTTATTTATAGGCAATGGGGGAGATGAAGAGTACAGGTTACTTCTGCTTCTAAAATTTCCTGATGATGATGATGAAAAAGAATTCCAATTGTCTAGAAATGTTTTACCATGATATAAGAAAATAAATTTAAAGTAAAATCAATTTCTTTCCTATTATGATTCATTTTTAGGCTCAGATTTAGTATAGTACAGTATACTAGATGGGTACCAGGAGGTGAAGCGGAAAGTTGAAAAAGTTTTGTAATGATTAGCAAAATGCAGAAACTCAAAAAATATTATTCTTTTCCTATCCTCCTCTGTTCTTCCTGGCTCTTACTGACATGTACTTTACTAAGCATGACCTTATTTTTAGTAATAAAACAGCAAAAACAGTAAGCCAAACAATTTGAACAAATTAAATTTTAAATAGAGAGTAACTACATATAAAGAAATATATTGCTGTACTGGTTAAAACAGACTACGTTAAGATAAATAATACACCATTCTGAATATTTTTCCACAAAAAAAATACTAGAAATGATAAATTGGTAAAGGAATTTTCAATTATTATTAACATTACCTTCTAAATGAGGGTGTTGAGACATAGTTCTTCGAATTTTGACAGGGACTTCGCCTTGTTCAAATATTGAACTAAAACAAATTTTACGAATGTAATTTGCAACATTTTATTATATACCGTATTTGATTTGCTTACCGTCTCTTCTTTCTGTTTACATCAGATGGGAAAATCAAATTTCTGATGTATTCAATTATATCTATCATGATTTCAAGATACTTCATATAAAATGCTTTAAAAGTGGAACAAGTACATTGTTTCAATAAGGAAAACTGTATTGTTTAAATATATATAAATTGTTATATNAATATGAGTGCTGTCAGCTTATGCTGAAGTGTACGATGTGTTCCATGTTAATGTTAATCATTGATTACTATACATCTATTAAAAACCATAATGGCCGACATCAGTGACAATGCGACAACAATTGAAAAAGAATGATGGCCGACAACAGCAACAATTAGAAAAGAATGATGGCCGACACTACGTCATAGTGAAGTGAATTTCGACCACTAGAAGCAAGGGTGCTAACAGTTTCGAGCTCACAGTAACCGTTAGGGGGGAATAACTAGTGTTGTTAACAATAATTTTATGACCTTCATGCATTTTATAAAAATATTGATGCGTACAAATGTACATATGAATATGTACGTGTATTATACATCAATTTAAAATCAATTCTAGAGAATATTAGGTGATTAATCACTTTTTATCTGCTAACATGCACGTGCAACAATAATTATGATTTCCAAGTTATGGAAATTCTTGGCTAGATCGTAGTGAACCTCTTCCAAGGGTACAATATGACACAAAATGACGCCCCTGATTGTAGCTACTTTATTTTTTTTACAATTCTTTTAAAACTTGTACTCACGTCTTCCTCAAATTATTAACGAAGTTGCCAATATAAAAAGAATATTACCTCTCTACTTACAAATTATCGACTATCAAGTTGCAGTTTATAGACATTTATATGTAGGTTGATTTGATATTTTTCAAAATAGTTAATAATAATTAATCAATTATCAGGAATTATGTCGTTAATTTATCCTTCACGGAATACAACTAATTAAGAAAAAATATCATTTTATGGATATCTACTCTTTTTATTTGATTTAGAATTGGCTATTTTTCCCGCTTAACAAACTAATGAAAATTTTATAAACTGCATAACTGCAAAAGTTTTAACAAACTTTTTTTTCGTCTGGTAGATAATATCGTAGAATATTTCGAAAATCTCTGTTGACCAGTTAAAACACTTACCTAACTAAACAAACTAACAAACTGATGACATCAATTTAAACAAAATGAATTAAATTACAATCCATAATCGCTTTATAGACTGACATGCGCCAAAATATTCATACTCTACATTAACTGAAATATTTCCTTTCCTTGGGTTTTGAATATTATAGAAAAGTCGCTAATGGTGTATTATTAAAATGCTTATAAACATTTTTGAAATAAATATTCCTTAATTAATACGTTACACTATTACAATTAGTGTTGAAAATTTCTGGGTGTAGTTGAAACCTAGGTGTTTTTATAGTCGACTATTGTTTAAATAGACATCTTAAAGTTTATATTAAAGCACAAACGTTTTTCTTTATTTATGGATTGCTCAGAAAGGTAACGAAGAGTAGTGTATGTATAGTCTAAGTACCTATATGAACTTATAGCTCTGACAATGGATTATGTTTGATTTAATTTGGTAAGCAAAATATATTAAGATAGTGTTTAAATTAAGAAAAACGGAAAGATTTGTTTTCACCCGTGGCTAAGATTCATATTTGATTATTTGCCGCGAAAGGCATTTATTCAAATAATAAAAAATATATGTATAACTCATGTACTTGGTGCTGAAAAAATCATTGATAAATCTTTTGTAATCCTTAACATATTAAAAACAGAAACAAACAAACAAAAAACAAGTTCCTAATAAAAGATCCACAATTTTCAAGATCTTTTTCAAATGAAGAAATCGTGAAAATCGTAGAAAGTGCTAGACAAATAAAAAACAATCTTCTAAAGCTGAACTGTCTACATTTTACTATAGTTAATCTAAGCTGAGACCTGTACTATTTTTCATCTCAAATTAAGTACCGGAAAGTTCTTACAAAAGCATAGGCATCTAGAAATGTCTAAAAGCTTTATACCTTAAATGATGTCCAGGTAGTCACTACTTTTTTTTAAGTTATTAATTCCGTCAAATAATTAAAATGGTACTCTGTACATTTAACAACTTAAAAAAAAACAAAGACTAAACAAATGGTACTGAATCTTCAAAAAATACTTTCAGACCTCTGTTTGTGACATTTTTTTCAGTACTTCATTTGCTTATTAAAAGTATATAACGAGTCATGGATAAATAACGATGTATCTGTATATCTTTTATTAGTTACGTATTAAAAAAAGTACTCGGAATGAGTTGAGATATAGAACAATAGCTTTTCTTAGTTTAGATTGGGCCCAGGTCCTTTATTACATACCGTACTGCTCAGGCAAGTCAGTACTGATCCGGTCCTCATCGGCAAGGTACCGAATATTTTTCACGGAAGCAGTTCGATCTTGGTACAAAGTATTGGTTTATTTTTGGATTCAAGTTTAATTGTTTAATTGTATCATATGTACAGGAGGTACTAAAGAATTATAAAAGGTTTTTTTGGTCACATACGAAACTAGTCTTAATTTTCCACATGAGAAAATGGTTATACGAACATTAATCAATATAAAGACATGCAAATACGTTTTCATGCAATTTTTCTGTCAGTAAAGTAATAAAGCAAGCAAGTCAATAAAAATAGCAGGGGAGTTGTTTCTAGATTAATAAGAACAAAGGCATTTGGAGTAACAAAATTTTCCGTTTTTGCGTATATGATTATATTATACACGTCGTTAATTGATAAATATATAATATACATATATAGTTTAAGCTCAAGCACGCTTGTTTAAAAGCAATCGATCTCACTAAGCACCGTCCCTTGTACCCGTCCTTCTTGCCGAATTTTTCATCCGATAAATTTCTACTGTATTTTATAACTTAATGTATAATTTTTATTTATAATGTGTGACAAAGTCAGAAGTCAGTCAGTCTTTCATTTTAATCACTAAGATTTTAAAATAATTTAACTTCGTAAAAGAAAGTCCAATTAGATACACAATAAGAAATTATAATGATACAGCCCTTGAACTAAAATTGTTAA